TCTAGGTGAGAACTCCTTTGAATTCTACCAACCTACGAACTCCCACTAGAAAAGATGATTACATGACCTCACGTAATGATCACCAACTTACAAATAATTCATTACATCAAATACAATCAAATGCGAAAATCGAGACATAAAGATCTCCAGCCATTGTTTTAGTATGCTCAGAATTAGGAAATTGCAAGCACGTCAAACCATATACATGCTATCACCGAACCAAGCTCTACACAACATATATGTGGTCATTTTCACGTAGGCTAGCTATTGTATTTCCAAAAACATAGTGAAATACAGGTTAGAAGGAATAAACAAAGCAAATATACCCCTAAAATACGCCTATTTAGGATTCCGTACGCATTTTTATACCATTAAAAGCTTCAAAAAAAATAAAATAATTATTTTACAGTGTAGAGGACGTCGATACGAACACAACGAGACCAAGTGCGCGGCGCGTGTGGCGCACGCGCTTGCCCAATTCGGGCTTCTGAGCCGGTCGAACCAGTCCAACCAGTTCAATCGTTGACCGGTCCGACCGGTTGACCGGTGACCGGTCTGATCGATTGACCGTTGACTGGTCAACGGGTCGGGTCATCGGGTCGGGTCGGTAACTAGGTCGGGTCATTGGGTTGGGTCTCCCGAACGGGTTTGGTTTCCCGGACGGGTCGGGTAACCGGCCGGGTCCGTTCGCCTGTTGCCGGAGCGTCGATTCGCCGGCGATATGACATCATCAATGACGTCAGCATGTCGATTACCGACAGTATTGCTGACATCATCGATGACGTCATCAAGCGCCGGTTGGCCGACGCGCGCATGGTCCACACGCGCTAGCAGCGCCAATGCATTGGGCGTGTGGCTTCCACGCGCCGCGGCTTTTGGCCACGCGTGTGGGCGTGTCCGGCATCTTCCGGAGGCGTGGCACTCGCCATTTTGCTCGTCTCGATGAGTTCTTCAACTCTGTATAAAAATATCTCATTTTTACTGAATATTCGATATAGGGTCAAGCAGAATGGCGTTCATCCTCCAAACCCGTTCGTTGCGTCCGATTTCGTTTTCGACAATTCATGTTGCAATTTCCGAGCAATGAATATCCAAATGATATGACTTCTCTTGATCCCCATATCAAACAACAAGTGAAAAAATTCGATGGAAAAACAAGGCAGAGATCATAACCGAGGCTCTGATACCAATGTAGGTGGCGAGTGTCGGGAGAACCGACTAACCTGTTCGATGCACTCCAAACTAATTTTCCAGGATCGTACGTTGAATCACTAGCGAACGATGAATGAATCTACTTCACGTTGGTCCGAATACAATCACAAGGAAAGTATTCTCGTTCCACAGCGTTAATGCTAATTATCTTCTCAGAGTAGATACGGAATCCTTATGCGTCGTTCTTTGATCAAGAGAGGAGAGAGAGAGAGAGAGTTCTTATTTTCTCTTGTTTATTGTTCATCATGAGGAAGTTATCTTAACTTCTCTTAAGAAACTCCTCTCGTGCCTCTTCAAAAGGTGTCTCTCAGACACACTTATAATTAGAGTAAATGGTGCCTCTTGGACACATTCATCATGGGCGGACCAACGAAATATAACAGTAGTACTCACGTTCTCCGTTCTGCTCCTTCTGCTGATTGGACACTCTCATTTATGGACATTCTCAAATCAAATTTGAATTTTAGTCATACACAAAGTACCATTTACGCCCTGGCCAATTATGGCCAGATCCGGTCGAAGGGAGGAACTTGATGCTTTGGTTGATGCCATTAATGCGAGGAGCCTTAAAATTGTTTGGGTTAGCCATGTGAACCTTATGCAGTGGTATGCAGCAACTGGAGAGATTGACTCAGTTTTTTATATATGGGATAAGTATAGAGAGTTGGACAGACATGTGTGCACAGAATCGTATAACATTGTCATGTGCCTATATTCAGAAAAAGGTGAAGATTCCAGGGCTGTGGAGATTCTATAGGATGATTGTGGAAGGAGCAAACCCTAATTCTAGAACATATACAGATATTTTTGAGCGCCTTGTGAATTCTGGGAAGCTGGATGTGGTGCTGGAGGTTTTCAGCTTTCTACTATTGATGAGAATCAAGCGCACATCGAAATAGTTCTTGATTTTGGCAGAGGGTTTGAAGGTTTGATGAGGTGAAATTTTTTCTCAACAATATGCAAGCTGAAGGTATGCTGCCTGTTCCAGCTCTGCTTTGCTCACTGCAACATATGAAAGAGGCAGGATATATTAATGAGAATGATGAAATTCTTTCTGAAATGTTGCCAAATGAGACGATAAAAAGTGTGAAGTATTTTGTAGATGATACCGAAGACGATGATGATGATGCTGAGGCCGAGGCTGAGGAGGAGGATGACGTTGCTTGTGAGGTCAACAAGGTCAGATTGAAACCATGGCTAGATCCTAGAGCTTTGACAAATGTTTTGCAGAGTTGGAGCCCCAAGGATGTTTGGGAATTGGAGAATGCAAAGTTTGTGTGGACAACTTGCTTGGTTTGCAAAGTCTTTAGAAATTTCAAATCTCCAATGGCAGCTTGGAACTTTTTCTGCTGGGTTGCTTGCCGACGGGGGTTTACTCATCATGTTTACATGGTGCAGAGAATGATGACCCTTTTAGCCCGACATGGGAATGTCTAGTTAGTAAATCAGCTGATCGATAAAATCAGACAGAAGGGACTAAACGTTTCCTTCTGTACCATTGAATTGATTATCAACTTCTGTGGCATTTCAAAAGATCCTGATGCTGCTTTGAAGACTTTTTGTCACGATAAAACTCTCTGTGGTCTATTTCAAAGTTTAAGCTGATGGATTCATATTCATTGTTGTTATGAACATTGGCCAAGTGCAGTAGGAGCTCTTGTGCTCTTGAGGTGCTTGATGAAATGATTTTAAATGACATTTGCCCAGATATTCAAACGTTTTCTGGTTCAATGGATCACTTTGCAAAGCAAGGAGACAGCAAGAATGTCCAGAAGATCTTCGGAATGGTTAGGCAGAGCGGCACTGAGCCAAACACTTACATTTTTAAGGTTTTGATTCATGGTTATTGCAAGTGTGACCCAGCTGCTCTTGCTTGGAAGGTATTCGAGGACATGAGAAGCTCAAATCTACTTCCCGATTCTGCCACGAAAGAGTTGCTGGTGAAAAGTCTCGAGAAGGAAGGCAGGAGGAGGAAGAGAGGCTGCAATGGTAGAAGAAAATTGTGAGGACATAAATGATTCTCTTCGTCTTTCTTTACCTCAGCCAAAATCACTCAAGTTTATGAAGTCTCTGCAAATAGTTTTACGTCAAGCTGTGATCCAACATCAAATTGGGAGGACTCGTAAGCTACTGTTTTTCTAAGTTGCTTCTTCACAACTGTCTGAAAACTGTAATTGTTACTTCTGTTTGCCTCTGGACCAAGTTTAGTTTTGTCACACACTTAAGTCTGAAAACTGGTGAGGCAACCTCGACCAGGTCGACCTCGCCGGATTTGACGAGGGCGGCCATCGCCTGAGGTGGGCGACCTCCACCAGCAATTGCCAAGGCCTAGCGATGGCCGGTGGAGGGAATAAGGGAAAAAGGAAAAAAGAAAAAGAAAATGGAAAAAGGAAAAAAAATTTAGAAAATTAAAAAATTTGCAAAAGTTATCAACATCAGTGCCGGGCGTGCCATGTAAAACAGCCAGCGCTGATTAGATTATCACGTCAGCGATTAGCAAATCGTCAAAAAGCTTAGGAGTAAATTGGCAAATTATCAAAAGGTTTAAGACTAAATTGGCCAAATTAAAAAGTTTAAAACTGAATTGGCACAAGTGCAATAGGTTTAGGATTTTTTTGAAAATTTCCCTGAAAATTAACTATAGGAACATGAAAAGGTCATGGTTCTATGAATTAAACTCAATATATGATTAATGGGGGGCAGGGATGTTAGAATATTTAAATATTAAAAAAACGCCTTAATCTAACGGCTTAAGCTTCTTAAATAATATGGTATAGAATAGGATGTTCCGAGTTCAAATCTTTCATGGCCCCTATATGTCTCTCTCATTATGTATTTCTACACCTTAATCTTAGGCCAAAGCCTAGCTTACACGTGAGTGGAGATTTAGAATATTTAAAATGGTCTCAAAAAATTTTACAATAAGACTAGTTTTCTAAGTTTACATCCTTTTTCAAGTTTCATGACCTTGTTAGAATCTTACCTTGAATAGTTTGAAGTAAAAAATTCTATCATTGAATAGTTTTCCAACATGAACATGCATGGCCTGGGGAGTGGTTGATATATCGCCCATTATTTGTTAGGAAACCTTTCTTGCAGATGGAAATTTTGATTCCGAGATCGACGAACCCATCGATTTAATCATCTATTGAAATATGGGATGCAAAATTATGGTTAATCACCACATAAGGGTGAAGGTAACGCCATCTAAGTGCTTCACAAGATATGAAAAGACAACAAAAAGAAAATTTGATGTATCGATGCGCATCGCATTTTCATGCCCCCAGTTGCTTGTTGTGTTGTTACTCAGATGTATTAATATTCTGATTTAGAAGACATGTTTGGTTTGCTTGTGAGTTGCTGGACTTCCAATGGAAAGCAGTTCTCCTATAGTTTCTGAGCCTGCGCAATAAAACTTTACTTAACAAGAAAAAAAGAACAGAACATAGGAGCATGATACCCATATGCGATAACTACAAGTTGAATTACAATAAGAGGTTAGATATAACTAATGATTATTAGCCAATGATGAAGAACTCTCATGCAAAATATATCTTTGTTTTTTATTCAAGTTCATTAGAGAGTTGACTTGATGGAATTAGATATATGACCAGGACATCAGCAAATATAATAATCTTGAGAAAATTAGAGGACTCTTGTAACCACACCAAACCTGTTATCTATAGCGGTACTACTCTATTAATCTGGATCAGAGTGTGCTCTTTTTGGTGACAGCGATACATGAAAATTGATTGATCACTACAACAGGGGTATACCCTTTTCTCCTTATGGGTTGGCTGAAAAGAATCCTCAAGGGTTCTATTTCTAGCTCCAGACAGAGATCTAGTGGAAGCTGTGAGGAAGATGATCGCTGTCCCTGTTCTGATGAGCCCAGCGATATGGAGGTAATACAAGGAGTATAAATTGGGGTTAATTGTTATTCTTGTATTCTTTCGTGGTTTATTCATGGGTGGTTATAATGGCCTAGAGGTATAACTGTATAAGTGTGGTTTTGGGAATTGATAGCTGCAACAGAATAGTGTTAAATTGTTGCAGAGCCTCAATGTGAAGGACGAATCGACAGAGGGCGAGGAAGAAGACACGGACTACCAAATCGGCTGCATTCGTTCCTTCTCAGAAGATGGTCATGGTAAATTGCACCGTCGTTCTTGAACTTTCCTCTGACATCAACTTAAGGACAAATCAGATCCACACTGGACCATGGTTTTACATATTCCTAAATGCATCTCTCTTCTTATTGTCTGACGAAATGTAGAACCCAAACCTTTTCACTTAAAGTACCTAGATTCCTTAACAATGTCTCTATACCATGTATCTTCGGTGATGCTGATTCAAAGAATGTCATTCAGTAGACGATCTCTATGGAGCGGCATTGACCAAGGACTGGGTACAATATGACGAACTGAGATGGGAGGATGAAGATGAACGACCCACCCAGTCTTTCCAACAAAGTTTGGCCTTCGAACCATTCTCCCCATTTGACATTGCAAACATATTCCAACCATTTCCGTTCTCATTGTATCCGGATAACGGGTACTCATCTATATAGTCACTTCTATTTTATTTGCTACTCCTTAGTCAATGCAATATGAATGTTGTTTGTGGGATAACAGAAAGAAGAAGGTGAATTTGTTCATAGACGATTCATTAGTTTCCTTCCATACCACAGGCAAGCCTTTCTGCATCCAGAATGCGTCCCCTCTTATGCTTCCCATGGTTCGCTTACTGGTCACCACATTTTTGTCTCTGAGTATCACTCTATTTATCGGAATATCGACGAAGACCACCACCTCAACCACCATCACCACCACCATCCTCGTCCATTATGCTATGTTTGCGGGCAACCTGTAAGAGTTTTCGTTTCTTTTTTTGGCGACTTTTCCTCAAGCAGAATCTATTAACTGGATACTTTTGATAATTTGGATTTTTTCTATTATCAACCAAAGTATGAATTCACTGAATCTTCCGTTTTTTTTGTCCTTGCCTTTTCTTGGTTACAGATCCCAGTGGATGCAAATGGCCGTCTTCTATACAGTCGACATCCTTTTTGGCGACATAAGTATTGTCTTCTGCATGAGAGAGATGAGACACCTTCTTGTTGGGTCTGCGAAAGATTGAAGGTAGGTTTCTTTTCAATTAGATATCTCTTATTAGTTTGAAAACAATTTAAAACATCTAGGGACGGATCTAACGCAAACCATGTTCGGGCTCAACATCTTCCACTAATAAATGATTTTTTTTTTTTTTTGCAAATGTGTGACAGAGAATCTTATTAAGAAAATCGAAGTGCATTCTTTTCAATAATTAGCCTGTATCATGGTGAGAAATTTTCATTTTTCTCCTTTTAGAAAGATTATACATTTCACAAAACAGCCAAGGATATCTGATTTTTTCAATTAATTTGTAACTAACTTAATCTTCGGACAATGACTCTTAACCTTTTTCCTACATCACTAATTCTAGAGTTTTTTAGGATTGTTAACATATTAAAATTCTTTCATAAAGAACCTCTCGTGTTATGTCAATAAAGTTTGGCTTTTCAATGTATACAACTTATTAAGGATTCCAACAAAATTAACTCACATAAAAGTTAGTAATGCAAAGTTCGTTGGTAAATGGTTGTTAAGTAAGACAAATAAAAGTGGTTACTTAATAGAAACGTTCGTAAGTTAAAAACAAAAGATTAATACCACGAAAAACCCTAAACTAATACACATGTGACAAATTTACCTCAAACTATTTTTTTGACCACCAAAAACCACAAACTGGTATACTTGTGACAAATTTACCCTCCGTTAAATTGGATTAATATCATAAAAAATCACAAACTTGTGCACCTGTGACAAACGAAAGGGTAAAACCCCAAACTGGTACACATGTCAATTGCCACATGTTATCCAACTCAGCAATTTGATAATAAAATTTCACGAAAACTAACCCATTTGGAGGTTTTGATGGTCAAAAAATTAGTTTTGGGTAAATTTGTTATATGTGTACCAGTTTGGGGTTTTTCATAGTATTAACCCAACAAAAAATGAACATTTGTTCGTAAGAGTTGTCCGTCAGAATTAGTTGGTAACTTAATTAAAGAAAAGTCAGCAAATCACACAAAAGTGTTTGGTAGTTCGATATAATAGTTGATAAACATGGCTTTAATAAGAAAGGTAAACAAAAATCAATAAAGGATGAGAGAAATTCTTTTGTCAAAGATAAGACAAGTTAGTGATGTAGAAAAAAAGATGACATCGGTAATTACTACTTACGTTTGCATTGCTTATTGATTTTTTAAATTTACCAACTCTTTTCGAAAGTACCAGCCTCATTTAGAATGGTTACCAACCTTTTTTTGATTAAATTACCAACTAATTTTGTATTATTAACTCCTCTTTTAATTAATTATCAATATTTATTTGATTTTGTAAAAATCGTCAACTTCTCTTATCTATGACAAAAAAAAAAGATTATCATTACTACCTATTTTTTTACCTTTCTTGCAAACTGTTTAGATTTATAGTTAGAAAATGAAATTGCCAACTTTTATATGTGTGACTTACCGACTTTTCTTTGGTTAAGTTACTAGCTAATTTCGTGTTACGAACTCTCATTTGAGTTGTATACCAATTTTTTTTCTTAAATTTAATCAACCTTTCTATTGAGATACCACTTTTATTTGCATTGCTAACTTTTGAAATTTATCGACTCTTTCGAAAAATTACGAATCTCAAAATTGCCTCATTGACGGGTTAAAGTCAAACAAATTACGATTTATTAAATATTATAAATAATAAATAATAAAAAATGCCAAACATATTTCATAATATGATGCGGTGGCCACGGGGCCCGTTGCCCCACGAAGGAAAAACCACCCCGTCTGCACAGCGCACAAGGCAACGGCAGGGCAAGTTTTCCGACGGCATGTCTTATAATTTCTTTCTTTTGCCCATTGATCAGCTATACATCATTTATAATTATTTGAGATCACAGATCCTCAGGGGAGTAGCATATTTCTATGCATGTCTTACACAAAGAAAATGATTAGGTTAAATGCGTTCATGTTTACCAACAATCTGTTTTAACTTGCACAAACTCTCGAACAATTGAGAGAGGTCGCTAATGCTTGCAAAACATTGTGCAGCCTAGAGGATCGACGTACTCAACCCTGAGCAATGATCGGTGGTTATGCCCAGAATGTCTGGACTCTGCAGTAGTGGACGGTCGTGTATTAAAATCTCTGGAACGCGAAATACGACGATTTTATGAACGCTTAGGAATAAAAATCCACCAGCGAACTATTCCAATACTTTTGGTGAACGACCAAGAGATGGAGAAAGGAGCACTATGCCAAAAGAACGTAAGATGAAGTTCCGCCTATAAATATAATCATACTTCTCAATCTGGCTAGTTGCTTTATATGATTCGCTTGCTTACAGACTCGTTTACCCGATCGATAGGTAAATTAATATAATCGCCCACGCTGTCTAGCTTTATTTTATGGCATCATCAATGAAATTCCGCAAACATCATAATGTCTCGGATTCCTAAGCTAAGGAATTGCTTAAATTTCTCATCCCGCGCTCCTAACCAAACTTTCTGCTCCGCACTGGATAGGGTCATCATCGACCGAATCAGACACTTGGCCTTACGACGTGGGAACTCCTTCCTATTTGTACCGTATGTGCTTCTTTGCACTTGAGATTTTCTCATTTTTCACATTGTTTACTTGTGTCAATTTAGCAACAGAGTGATAACCTTTCCTTTCATTTTTTTGGTCGACTCCCATTTAATTTCAGACTGTGGAAGGAGAGGAACATATACTAGTCGCCCACTCAAGAGATCTAACCATAAGAGTTTTGAAAGGTTTCCCGAGGTATTGTCCTATCATTATAATTCCAAATTAAGGTCTCATTAGAAAAATTTCAAATTAAGACTAGCTATCTTTGTTTAGAGAGTTGATGTGAAAATTGAATCTTTTGTACAGGTTGTTCACAGGGCAAACCCTCGCTCATGAGATGCTGCATGCGTGGTTCACACTAGAAGGTTCTTCTCTTGATTGTGATGCAGTTTTTTACTCTAATTTTAACCATAGTATGTTCGAAAAATCCACTAGTCTTTGAAAGTTAGCTTGCTGGGCTGTGTTTTTTATTTAATTCTCGAAACTACACTTCATAATCCTAGCTGTCTTTTCTGGCAAAATAAAACGTTAGAAAGAAAAAGAATCCTAGCCTAATGTGATCTACTTGTTGAGATGCACTTGTGACACGTGTTAGAAAATTCTCACATTGGAAAATTGGTGTGGTGTGGTGTGGTGTGGTATGGAGAAGTTTATATATTCTAAATGGCCCATAACTCATTGGCTTAAACTTTTGAGTGGGGGTAGATTCAACTAAATATATTGATGGGCTCAGATTTAGACTCCCTCTTGGTGATATCCCACGTAAAGGTATTGGATTTTACTGCGTGCTCCTAATAAATAGTATAAGAGCCGATAATTGATTGGTGACTCACTCCCAATATGTATTAGTCTAGATAAAGAGACCGGGGTTGAAGGTGGAGATTATTGAGATGTGGAAAATTGGCATAGTGTGGAGTAGTTAATGTATATCCTAGTTGACCTATAACACATTAGCTCAAACTTGAGTGAAGGTGTATCCAACTGGATTTGTTGACGGGCTCAAACTTGAACTCCCTCTTGATAATCTCCCTAGGCGAAGATATCAGATTTTGATGCATGCTCTCAACACGATTACACTGTCTACACCACACATTATCGTGCTATAACATCCCTATGCGACAAACAATATTAAAAGATTTTTTTTTAAAAAAAGAGAAAGAAATCTAATTTGTTAGATTAGTAAATTGCCACTCTTTTTTTTTTCTTGGGATAGAATCTTACAAAAAAATGTAATGGTGCAACTGACTACATAATAAGATATTCTGATCTTTCCTTGGGGAAATTTTGGGTTTTGAACTAGAGAACTGTGGTATGTTTGGCAGGTTATCACGATTTAGATCTCGTGGTCGAAGAAGGCCTTTGTCAAGTTTTGGCTCACATGTGGTTGGATTCTCAGATGCGATCCATGTCCAAGAGCCAAATTGCACTATCCCCAGGGTTTGACTTCCAGAAAAGGCTCGCCGAGTTTCTTCAGTATGACATCGAATCAAGAACCGATTCTCCTTATGGCACTGGATTTCAACTAATGAAAAGGGCGACGGACATGTATGGCCTTAAAGGCACACTCGACTACATACGTATGACAGGAAGCTATCCTTGATGATCTGTATATTCTTATTAAGAAATTTTCCTTGTTTCATGGTCTGTCTAGTGATTGATTATGTACTTTCGAGCACTTTTGCCCTTGCCCACGTGTACTCCTAAACATGCGATGAGTTTGGCTAAATAATAAGATGATTATTATGCGTGTATAAAATGCTAGAAACATTGGCGAGCTTCCTTGTGATTCAATTTTCTTTTGTATTGTCTTGAATTGGATTCGGTTCAACAGAGTGTTGCTTGAGTCATCTTCTCCCCATGCTATCCTAAGAGAGGGAGATGCATGTGTGGATCGTGAGCACAAGAGAAATTCGGTTCCCAGTGCACTTGATGCAAACATGTCATATTAGGTCACTCACTCGAATTTTCAACTCGAGTCTTACCTAAACCATGTGGTTAGTAGTATTTTGTATTAGCTTGGGGTTTACCTTCTTTGCCCAACCTCCTTAATTTCAACAAATTGTTGTTGACATTTATGGAAATTTATTAATTGGTTGTGGGGATGAGCAATAACTATCCAAAGGTATTTTTTTGTATTGTGGGCGTAGCTGCTAATAACTTTCTGGAGCATTTAGATATGCATAAGATCAAAAGGCGGGCCTAAACAACGGGTTCCCGCAACATTCGGTATACAGGCCATAACCATATTGATCGAGGAAGAGTTACAGGGCCCATAATTCCAACTTGGAAAGATTGTTCGAAAGAAATGTTGTGGCCAAAAGGGTTTTCATTCGCATTCATTTCAGATCTCAAAATTCATCATTTACGCATGATTCGGGACACTTTTCTATATGTTTTAAGCATTCTTTTAGCCCTTTGTTTATTTTTCCGAACTTCTTTACTGCTTATTGTTATTTTTTGGGTTTTCTCATGTCATCTTGGGTTTCTAGAATACTTATTATTCTTTTGGGATAAAGCTACAAAAACCCCAAACTATTCCCACTATGACACATTTACCCTGAACATTTTTTTGTGACATCAAAAATTCCAAACTATGCAAATTATGAAACATTTACCCTAAATTTTTTCTTGTGATGTAAAAAATCCAAACTTGTACCTATGTAACTCATTTACCCTCCTTCTATCAAGGTTCCATTAGATGATTTTTCAGTTAAAGCACCATCGTTTTTATTTCATTTAAATCACGTGGGCATCATGCCAACATCGTTTGCTTTCTGGCGCCCATGTAGGCAAATTTTTAATAATTTTCATTGACCGAACTTTGACGGAGGGTAAATATGTCACACATGTACAAATTTGAGATTTTGATGTTATAAAAAAATGTTTAAGGTAAATGTGTCACGGTGGACGTAGTTTGGGGTTTTCGGTGGCTTTTGCCCTGTTCTTTGTCGAGTATCGGACAGCTTTTGACGTAATTATACTGTTGTTGTACCTTTGTGCGTGTTTCGGATTTTTTTTGTCAAAGTGTGTTCCGGATTGATTTGTTCACGTTTATCAATCGATTTTTCCCGACGTTAGCACGTAATAGAGCCAGTAAAATAACTAGAGAGTGGGGCCATGTCTAGTGTCAACCCAATGGGAGAAACTGTCAAGCAGACGAATATCAGGCGATACAGGCCTTGTGGACATCTATTCTTTGGCTCCAGGCTTCTTAATGAACCCTAAAGTAAAATCTGCAGGGAACTCAAAACACGTTTATCGATCAGCACGCTCCAGCGAAAACCTTAATAGGGCTAATGAAGTGTTGCCATGATTGAATAATTCCTGTAGCCAACTGCTCCAAGAACTTGTTCCATAAAGAAAGTAAAAGAAACTTTGAATTTTTTTATTTTCCTTGTGCTTCTATTAATGTACAGAATAAGTTTAGATAGATACATAGTTATATGATAAGAGCAAAATTGATTCCTTAAATCAAGGAAAGTGTCCTCAAATTGAGGGGAGAATTTTAAATTCAAATTGAGGAAAGTATGCTAAAAGATTTTAGGACGATATGTTATCATCCCCTCGCAAGCTGAGCACGATTGGCTGAAGGTGGAGCTTGGTCTGCAAAAATATGATGTGATTAGAACTTAGACCTTTTGTGAACACATATGCAATTTGATCTTTGCTGGAGATGAATTGAACAGTGAGAATATTACACCCAACTAGTTCCCTGACATAATGAAAATCGACAGCGACATGTTTCGTTCTTGAATGGAAAACTAGATTGTGGGCGAGAGAGATTGTGAAAACATTATCACACTAGATTGTGAGTGGTGTAAGGAGTGGGGGCAATGCAGTTCCCGTAACAAGGAGCATAGCCAAACTAATTCAGCTGCAGTGAGCTAGACACCAGTACTCAGCTTCAAATGAAGAACGGGCCATCGTGGCTCGTTTCTTTGCACTCCAAGAAATGGGGTTAAAACCAAAGAAAACACAGAACCCACGAGTAGAGTGTTGATCAATAGGGCAACCTACCCGGTCGACGTCGCAGTAAGCAATGAACTGGTGTTGACCTAGACAAAAGTGAAGATTGTGAGTGATTGTGCCTTTCAAATAATGCAAAATTCGTTTGACCGCCACAAGATGATCCTCGATGGGAGACTTTAGGAACTGGCAAACTTGATTAACGGCAAAAGAAATGTTAGGATGTGTCAAAGTAACATACTGCAGCGCTCCAACAGGACTCCAATAAAGAGTCGGATCCGATAGTGGAGGGCCAACATCATGGCCAAGTTTTTAAACACAACAGGCATTGGGACTGGTTTACATCCGTCCATATTTACACACTTTAGAACATCCATAATATACTTCGACCGATTGAGTTGTATGCTTTCCGAATTACGTGTTTTCTAAACACCAAGAAAATGAGAAAGAGGTCTGAGGTCCTTCACGCGGAAATGATGGCCAATATATGAAATCAACTGCTACAATGCTAAAGTATCACTACCAGTGAGTATGATATCATCAGTGTACAAGAGGAGATATATGGTTATATGCCCTTGGTGGAGATGAACAGTGATGGATCGGAGTTAGAGACGGTGAATCTAAAATCATGGAGTTTTGAATTAAACTTTCATACCAGGCTCGAGGGGCTTGACGGAGGCCATAAATAGATTTCTTCATGTGATAGGCATGATTAGGCTTGCCCAGATCAACATAGCTTGGAGGTTGGGACATGAACACTGTTTCCTGTAAATCACCATGTAAAAATGCACATTCGACATCCAATTGTCGAAGTAGCCAATTGTGAGAGATTGCAAGAGATAAAATAATTCAAATAGTGGTAGGTTTCACCACGGGACTGAAGGTCTCAACAAAGTCAACACCTGCATGTTGATGGAAACCTTTAACAACAAGGCGAGCCTTGTAATGACTAATAGAGCCATTCGGATTTCGTTTAACTCGAAACACCTATTTGCAGCCCACTACGTTCATAATAGGATCATAAGGAACCAAACACCATGTTTGTTGCTATTGAAGGGAGGTAAATTCTTTGATCCATGGCATGACACCATTGAGGGTCTTTAACCGCTTCGAAGTAACATGTTGGTTCAGAGATATGGTTGGGAGATATGGTTGGCAGTAAGTGCAAGCGAAAGTAAGTGAAGGCTATGGGAAAAGTCCTTTCGTTTGATAATACTAGACTTAGACCTTGTTTGCATTGGGTGAGTGGAAGAAGGAGAAACAAGTTGATTATCAATAGGTGGAGGAAGAAGTTGGCTAGAGGTCTGCACGATAGGTTCGGTAATTGATGAAGAAGGCACCGGGGAGGTGTTGTTGGATGTGAGAACAACTTGTGAAGTGGTGGAGGGACCATAATGAGCATGCTCGGTTTGAATGAGTCCAAACAAATCGAGTCTATGAGGTGGAAGATGTGAAGAATGAGTGAAGTGTTGTGGGAGTGAGGAAACTTAGTTTCATCAAAGACAATATGACGAGAAATATATACTCAACAAGATGAGAGATCCATACAATGATACCCTTTACGATTGGAGTTGTAGCCTACAAAACAGCAGGGGGTCGATCGAAGTTCCAATTTATTAGCATTGTAAGGTCGGAGCCATAGGAAGCAAAGAGAACCAAAAGGTTCATAAGTGTGAATAATTAGGAGGGGTATGAAATAAAGCTTGATATGGAGAGCAAGTGTGATGTTGAAATATGTGCATGTGGTTAATTAAATAAATGGCTATGGTGAAAGCTTCTAACCAAAATTTAGAAGGCTTATGAGAATGGGTCATCATAGCTAAGCTAGTTTCAATGATGTGGCGGTGTTTGCACTCCACAACACCATTTTGTTCTTGTGTGTAGGGGCAAAAATATTCATGTGTAATGTTATATGATTGAAGAAAATTGTTGAAAGTATTACTTGTGAATTCGCCACCACCGTTCGAGCGAAATGTGGTGATGGTGTGCCGCAAAAGATTTTTAACTTGCTTTTTAAAACTAACAAAGATGTCATAAAAGTCAAATTTTAATCTCATAGGAAATAACCAAGCATATTTGGAAAAATCATTGACAAAGAGAACATAATATGAATAATTAGAACAAGATAATGTGGGAGCAGGGCCCCATACAATGTAATAATTCTAGAGGACGACTAGAGGTAGAATGAGACTTGGAAAAATGAAGCTTGTGACTCTTCGCCTGCTAATATGAAGAGCAAATGCGAGATCCTGATTGTTGACACCTAAATTTTGACTATTCACTTAGGGTTTAATTGCATAAGGAAATTAGGGATTAATTTTTAACCCCTAAATAAAAATATTTTCATTAAATTACACGGCATATAGATATTAGGTACATTTGCATTAATAGGGTATATTAGAACATATTTTTCTTGTTTATTTTTAAAATATAATTAATTAAAAAAATTAGAATTAAAAAAATAAAAAAAAATCAAAAAATTCAGGCCGGTTCGACCCGGTTCGAGTGAACTAGGTCAGCCCGGCTCCCTTTTTGTTCCCTATTTCTTTCCTCATGCGTGCCGGCCCACTTTCCTTTTCCCTTTGGCCTAGCCCGTGACTGTTCTTCTTCCCCAAACACCATCCACGCGCTTTGGGGAGAAGGACAAGCGATAGTGGAACAAAACGCAAAAGCAGAAGGGACACAGAGGAGACGAAGGGACACAATGACAGAGAAGCAGAGCCGGTCGACGATCGGCCGACCACGGTAGGGCCGGTCAGGCATGACCGACCGGCCACAAAAGAGTCGTGAGACCGCACGAGCAGAGGGGGGAGAGAGAGAAGGAACTAGGGGGAGAGGGAACCGAGAGAACCAAAAAGAAAGATTTTTGCTCTTTCACCGGTCATCCATCCGAGTTGCTGTCGGCCCCCGTCAAGCCTCAAGCCGCTGCGCTTCATCCCGATTAGCTCCGAATCAGGTGGGTCTTCATCGTCTTCGCCTATTTTGGTCCCCTTATTTGGTGATCACCCAGCCCCATCAATGGAGTCTTACACTCGTTTCACACTCAAACAAGTTGTTTTAAGCGTTATATGTTGAAAGTAGGCCATGAACTCTCTCAAAATCTAACATGTAATTCCATTCCTTAGTCGCATAGCGCTTGTTCGACGAAATGCCTCAATGAAACAGTATTGGCCTACAACGTCGAATCTGGTCATGTTGGTTTTTTAGCATTTCGTTGCAAATTGAGATGAAGCTAGAGTGAACTATGCCAGTCTAGATCTTTACACATCACTATGGGGCTGAAAATTGTGTTGAATGTCACTTTAGAACACATATCTCAACTTGCACATTACATGTTCGATGAAATGTCCAAATGAGGAACCGAATTAATTTTTGTGAATCAATGCTTGGAACTTGTTTTTTTTAGGCTTGATTAGTTCTTATATGTGTTGAATGGTGACTAAAATCTGTGTTTTTTCCACGTGGTTTTGTTGCAATATGCACATCGTCCGAGTCGGCCATGTGTGCACCTCCCCTCCGTCGGAAAGCTTTTCATCGCCGGTGATGCCCGCAGTTTGAGGCCGCTCCAGTCAGTTTTTTCTTCATTGTGTTAATGTGCATATGCGTGTTCGTTCTAGTGGAACATTTCATGCTTGAAAAAATACAAACTTGGAGAAGGAAGCAGCCGCCGACGATGATAGTTTTCGGTGGTCAGAATAGGTGGCCGACGATTTGGTGATGGCCGGGATTAGTGGCTGGTGAAGGTGTTGATGTTGGCGACCAGAATAAAGGATTGATAGGCGTCGTTGTCTAGAGAAGGGTTCATTCCGGCGAGGTACTGAGAAGGGCAGTCTTTGGCATGCTCTCGGTGAGGAAGAAGACATGGAGGAAAGAAAAACCAAAGAAAAAATAGAAAAAGAAAAAAGAAAAAAGAAAAAAGAAAAAAAATTAGAAGAGAAATAGAAAAAGGGAAGTCCCAGGCAGGTCGGGTATCCAGGTCAGATCGGGTCAGGGGATCCGATCTGAAATTCATATTTTAGCAATAAAAAAATTAAAAAAATCCAAAAAAATTAGGAAGGGTTTAGAAATTAGTTTTGGGTTAATTTCATTAGATCTTAGTTTAATTTTATTCTAGATTTTTTTTAAATAGAAAAAAATGTGAAAACCTTTGAAAATGGTGTCAAAATTTTGGATAAGCCTTTAGGGCTATACCTTAGGACTTTTGATTGCTTTATCTTTTTTAGAGACAATGCTAGATCGCCGATTGTTTATTTTCATGTCGATTATTTGGTTGCATACTTTTAATACATTGGTTGTTATTTTCCATTTTTAGCATGGTTAGGATGAACTTTAGGCTTCTCGATAGGTTACCCTGGTGCGTTAGTTAGCGAGCGATCAAGTTTAGGTACTGAAAGCGCACTAGTTAGATCACTAGTGTAATCAAGTCCCCGATCTTTAGAATTTCTGATTTTCGCACCTATCGAGACACACTCCTGCGTCTCGATTAGGGTTTATAGCCAATCCTTGATTAGGGCTATTGGCGACTTCAATTGAATGTATATATTAGAAAAACCACGTCGCGCGAGGTATGTGGCTTGGGAGCACCTCCGTCCTTGGATAGATGAGCCTTTTGATTTGTCCTTCGAACAAACCAACCGATGTTCACATCCATCGACAAATATCTATTGACCTATTCATTCATAATTGTTTAGGTCGCGACACCGATTTATTGGAAATAGAAGCGACTGAGAAAATGGCCCGTTGAATGTCATGAGAGGGATGGCCGAGACGAGCATGCCATTGGTTCGTGGTGATGGAGGAACTATAATGAGCCTTTGGAGCGATGGATGATGGTGGAGTGCGAAGTGGGTACAAGCCATTCTCAACTGGCCCTTGATATAGTATCCTCCTCGTGGCCTTGTCCTTAATACAAAAACCAGAGGCATCGAAGTTAAAGAGATAATTGTTATCTTTGGAAAACCGGTAAACAGAGAGTAAATTGTGTGAAGCTGTAGGACAATGAAATAGAGATTTGAGGTGAAGAGGTGATGAAGTAGATGAAAGGGTGGTGGAACCAACATGTGCAATGGCCATACCGTGGCCATTACTTATCTCAGCAGTGTCATTACCATCATAAGCAGTTGAAATTTGGAGATTTTCAAGCCCCAGGGTGAGATGATGAGTGGCTCCGATGTCGGTGTACCAAGTGTTGGGTGGGGTCAAGGCAATGGTGGCCATTGCTGCAAGTTTTTCCGGTGGATGGCGGCCTTGATAGGTGTAGTCCATTCGGTGATAACAATCGATGGCAGTATGACCCATACGATTGCAAATTTGACATTATGAACGAACACCCAAATTTTGAGATTTTTGTTGACCTTGGGGTGATGGTCATTGTTGCACCGATCCAGAGGAGATGGAGTACTATTGGCGTGGAGGAAATGTTCTCATGCATGGCCGCGGCCCTAAGAGAATTGACGAGAGTTGTTGGGCCTGAAAGGCTTGGAAGCCACCAATGCAGTAGACTGAGCTGAAACCGCGGGCGGTGTATCTTCAATCAAAGAGAGATCCTCACAGATTAACAGAGTATGAAGTTCTTCAATAGATAAGGTCGATGTCCTGGCGTAAATACGAACCGAGGAACATAATTGGCGATATGATGGTGGCAGCGAATCGAGGATGTGAATAAGCAAATCATCCTCGCTTAGGGGAGAGCCACAAGCTGTCAACTGGTCAGAAATGACCTTAAATTGCTGGAGATAATCAACCATAGATTGAGTACCCTTCTTGAGTCGAGGAAGCAACTGTTTGAGGGACATCACATAGGCAGGTGCTGTAGAGGCATATCTATTATTGAGCAGATCCCATGCTTGCTTGATAGAAGTAAGTCCGATGATATATGGAAGAGCAGAGTCGCTTAATGTAGCATTGATCCCTGATAACAGCAGTTGGTCTTTTTCAAACCAAGTTGGCTTTGTGGAATCATCAGATGAAGATGGAGGAATAGAGTCATCAACATGATGCATCAGGCGATGACCATGCAAAATAGGCGTGAACAAGGATTTTGAAAGGAGATAATTGGAGGCATTCAGTTTGATTGGGACGAGGCTAGAAATGTTTGAAATCACACGAGGTGGGGACTGAATTGGGGTATTGATAGTGCTAGTAGCTTTAGAATTGTTGGAGGGAGCCATGAGAAAGAAGAAGTAGAATCACAAGTAATGATATTATGCAAAGTGCTCTGATACCATAAAGGAAGTAAAAGAAACTTTGAATTTTTTGATTTTCCTTGTGCTTCTATTGATGTACAGAAAAAGTTTAAATAGATACAAAATTACATGATGATGGCAAAATTGATTTCTTAAATCAAAGAAAGTATCCTCAAATTGATGAAAGAATTTTAAATTCAAATCAAGGAAAGTATCCTAAAAGATTTTAGGACGATATGTTATTATTCTAGAGGCTTGAAACAATCATTTTTACAAAGTTATCATTCTAGAGGCTTCATCCCTCTTTTTGTGAATAAATAATGAAGATCTAAGACTTTTTTATTATGAATTTCCGCATCATTGAATTACATTATTGCTAACAGTTGGTATCCGAGCATAGTTTAGGATCTCGTGATTTTTTTTTATTATTAATATATATATGGTTTCGTTAATGTTATCCCATTAATGCTTGTTAAAATATATATACATCGAATTGATTAATACAAGTACTTGCTTAATGAATCGTATGTAAATTATTATTTGGGTTTAGTACTCTTGTTGTATATATTTTTGGGTTAATACCACGAAAAACTCTAAACCGGTACACTTGTGACACATTTACCCCAAACTATTTTTTTGACCATCAAAAATCTCAAACTGGTACACCTGTGACAATTTTATCCTGAACTATTTTTTTGACCACCAAAAACCCTAAACTGGTACACCTGTGATAATTTTACCCTGAACTTGCCACAAAAAACCCCAAACTGGTACATATGTGACAATTTTACCCTGAATTAAAATTAAAATTTTATTTTTTTTATTTTTTTCGAATTTTTATTTATTTTTATTCTTTTCTTTCATTTTCAAACTTTAGCCGGTCGCCCAGGTCCAGCCCGGCCGCCAGAGGGCGGAAGCCGCGGGCCGCCTCGCCGGCGTCGGGAGAGGCCGCCTGTCGCCGGCGTCGGGCGAGGCCGCCCTCGCCGGCGTCAGGCGAGGCCGCCTCGCCGGCGTCGGGCGAGGCCGCCCTCGCCCGCCCGGGAGCAAGGAGACCTCGCCCAGGCACGCGGGCGAGGTCGCCTCGCGCCGGATCCGGCGAGGCGGCCTCGCTAGTATCGGGCGAGGCTGCCTGGCCGAATCTGGGCGAGGTCGCCCTCCCAGGCGTCGGGCCGCCACTGCCCGAGGGATCAGGCGAGTGACCCTCGCTGCGTCGGCGAGGCCGCCCTCGCTGAGTCGGGCGAGGCGGCCTCGCCCGACGCCGGCCCTCGCCGGCTTCCGCCTCTGGCCGGTCACTGGACCGGCGACCGGCCAGAGGTTGAAGGTGAAGGAAAAAAAAAGAAAAGAAAAAAGAAAAAATTCAAAAAAATATATAAATAATATTAAAAATTAGTTCGGGGTAAAATTGTCACATGTGTACCAGTTTTGGGTTTTTTGTGATATGTTCGGGGTAAAATTGTCACAAGTGTACCAGTTTGGGGTTTTTTATGGTCAAAAAAATAGTTTTGGGTAAATGTGTCACAAGTATACCCGTTTAGGGTTTTTCGTGGTATTAACCCTATATTTTTTTCATGTTTTTCAACACGTTAATTATTTTGCTATATATATTTATATATTTATATATGAGTTGACATATATTCTTAAGGCATCATAATGTAAAATTTGATTCTCATACCTTTATGATGATTTTGTCACGAAAGTGATTGAATCTTAACATTTAAAGATAATCAAATTATGAAACAATTATTGTGTTTTACATTTTTAAAAATTTAATTATGAATAGTTTGTTAGTCACCAAAGTGGCCAAATCTTAAGGTCTCTTGAAATTTCAAAAAGGGTTAATATTATAAAAAAAAAACCCCAAACTGGTACACCTGTGACAATTTTATCCCAAAAAATACCACAAAAAAACCAAAACTGCTACACCTTTGATAAATTTACCCCAAACTAATATTTTGACCACTAAAAACCCCAAACTGGTACATTTGTGAAAAATTTACCCTTCTTTAGTTTCCGTTAAATTGAATTAATACAAAAAAAAAATTACAAACTGTTACACCTATAACAAACAGAGGGTGTAACATAAAACTAGCACATCAGTCAACTGTCATATGCCATTTAACAAAGCAATTTGATAGCAAAATTTAACGGAAACAAACTGAGGGTAAATTTATCACAGGTGTACTAGTTTGGGTTTTTATTGGTCAAAATATTAATTTGGGATAAAATTGTCACAGATATACCAGTTTGGGGTTTTTTATGGTATTAACCCTTTCAAAAATTATATAATGTTTCATTCAATTACCCAAAATTTATTGATGCTATGACTTAAATTGATACATTACATATCCTTATTGGTGTCATAGGTATATTGAAGTTCTTTTATTATAGATACTTAAGGATTCACCCAAAAGTTAATCAATTTCTTGTAATTCATGACCGTAATAGTTGGTAATTAATATATCTTGTTAGATTTGTTTGTATATCCAAAGATATTAAATAAATTTTAATGAGGTCTATTTATAATTACCAAATAAAATTTATTAGTATCATTATTGTTTAATTTGAATCTGATTATGTGATATTCTTAAAGCACTAATGTATGAGTGTTGTCTTGCATATTCGCAATATTTGTACATGTTTTTCTTTATTCTCATACTTCGTCTGCTCTTTTATTTAATGGAATGAACTTCTCTCATGAGTGTGAACAAATTCAGTTTCACTTATGTGTCTTGGATCTTGATTTAGCCCTTCAAGTTGAAGACCTGGCTTCTATTACTGAAGAGAATAGCGATAATGAAAGGGCTTTTCATAAAGCTTGGGAAAGATCAAACAAATTAAGCTTAATGTTTATGCAAATGACAGTTGTGACATCCTGAAATTTGCCCATTTGAGATTTATGAAATGCTTGGTTTTATGAACGTACTCGTAGTCAGTTCTCGCCCGGAACTGATCATTCCTAGGATACTAACCAATAGGGAAAGGCTAATAAGGGATCTAAATTCGTGCGACTAAAGAAAATTCGATCGTGAATTGATTTTCGACCATAAAATCGTCGAGGTGACATTTTGAGCCACTGTAGGCCGATCCAAGAATAGACATGGGTCAGTTCACCACTGTCATAGTAGTGGATCGCGGGTGATTCCGCTGGACCACGAAATGAATTGACGAATGATCCTGAACCTATACCAAACGATCGTGCCCCTCGGATCTAGCGATCGATCCTCGCGATTAAGTGACAACCAAAGTCGTAACGGACCGAATGAACTTGCACGTGATTCGATTTATTATCAGTCACGGGTCGAATATGCGAATTTCCCCAAAAGCCGCCCATTAGTTTGAGAAACACTCGAGTTACGTTGAATAAAATTCAATTATTAATTAGAGTCTAAATTGGGCATCGGAAAAATTAGGAAGTCACAACGGGACGTTAGGACGACGTTGTGATTGGAACGTACAGCTTTGGATTTTCCCGAATCCTTCAGAAAAATTCAATTTCGGCAAGAAAATGGAAAAGTGACCGTTTTACCCTTTGAGGTTTCTAAAGGGCAAGTATTAGAGGGGAAGGGCATTTTGGTCATTTTGCCCTAATTTTTGAGTTGGACAATTTTGCCCTTGAACTTTTTGAGAAATTCCCAAATTGCCCTTGGATATTTTGGAAAAGATTCGATCCGGGCCGTCGATTTCAAGATGAGATCGAATCTCGGCCGTCGATTGGAATTGTGAGAGAAGGGCAAGATGGTCATTTGGGCAATTCAATTATTGGTTTGACTATTTTAAGCCTAAAGCTCTCTCTCTCTCCTCATTCTCTCTCTCTCTCATCTCACGGCTCACTCTCTCTCCTCTCCCCTCCCTCACAGAGAGCTCTCTCTCTCTCTCTCCCTCTCTTCCTCTCTCTCGCAGCCGTGAGAGACCGCGGCAAGGAAGCCGCCGTCCAGCCCATCGCCGCCGTCGCCGTACGCCGATCGCCGCCGCCGTGAGCCGCCGGCCAACCGTTCCCCCATTCCACTCTAGCCGAGTTAGCCTAGAGTGCGGGTAAGTCGCCCCCTAAACCCTATTTAGGATATCGGGTATTAACGGACTAGTTTAGACACGGTTTAGTCGGTTTTAGGGGCTGGTGGAAGTGATTATAGATGGATTAGAGGAGAGCTTGATCCCTTGTTGTGTTCATGAATTTTCATGTGGCTGTTGGATGATAGTTTGGACACGGTGGAATAAGTTTTGGCAGCTGAAATTCGGTAGAAATCAATTAGGGTTTGAATCTTGGAGGTTTGGTGTGATTCTCGGATTCGCGGTTACTGTACCCGTCCGGTTTGCTATTTTTGTGAAGAATTGTGTGGGCCGAATTTGGGGAAGTTTTCTTCATGAAAGTTGCTCCCAACATCTTGATGTATAACATATTTTAAATTTGGAATTTTTGGAGGCCATTTGGGTCGCACGAAAACCCATTTTCAGACCGTATTAAAATTGCCCGGAACACTGTTCATCCCGACCTTCTTGTCTGGTCGAATTTTTATAAAATTTTTCAGATCTATTTTCAATAAACTTCCTTCACAAAAGTTGTTGGCGACTTTCTTTTCTATGACATATAAAAATTTCAAAGCTTTTCAAGGTGATTTGTGTGTTGAAAGAAATGTATTTTGAGGACAAAACAGTCTGTTAGAGCGAACTGATTTTGGTCTGATTTCGATGGACAAAAAGGCATGGTTGCAGATTGAACCGGATTTCGTGTTCTTCATAAGAAATGTTTATCAAGATGTTTTTTTTTATATATCCAAAATTTAGAATTTTTGGAGTTCGTTTACTATTTATTTTGATGG